CGCCGCTGGTGGTAGATCTCATCATTTTGAGCCTCGGTCAAGTGACGAAGACGACACCTGAGCTGGCAGCTCTTCCTCTCCAAACTACTACACCACGCCAACGGGAGGACTTGAAACTCGACATAATTAATGTGCATCACCCTCCTTTACACAGTGGTCATCAGTGGCACCAGGACCTGAACCCGCGATATAGGCCGGTAATGTGTTCGTGATCACAACCGCTAGCCTACCAGAGGCAAATTTAGTTTGTTGATAATAGTTTATGAAATTACATTTACAAATTGGTTTGCACAAAATATTCTCATAATTACCTTACTATAGAGTTATTTTAATAATCTCATCTTAACTTACTTCAAATGTTGTACTATATTTATATATCATACATAAATATGATACATTAAAAATGATACATTGCTTGCTTATATCCATTTTTATGTTCCGTTAAAAACGGATACAAGCAAGTATTTGTGTTAAATAAATTGAATTAATTATGTTTTTCAGCAATCTCCCTAACTCGAGAAACTTCATCGGTATGTAGGCAAACTACACCGCTGGACAATTGCTAAGGACGGACAACACTATCATCCATAGCAACCACAAAATGATAGGAAACAAAATGTGGAAAATTAGAATAAGTGCGGGATATTAGTAAGAAGAAGTATGAGTATGCAAATTTTTTTCCCACGTCTGTTCATCACGTGATAGCGTTCATAAGAGCTTTAAAGGTTTTGACGCGTGTGGACAGTTGTTGTTTCAAGTCAAAGTTTTACAGGAAAGATTTAATAGACGAACTTAAAATTTTTGGCATGTCTTCCCGACATCACATAGATCATTTTATGCGTGGCCGAATTATTGGAAAGATCGAAGAAGGGCGAAAAATAACAGATGTTGCCAGGGAGTTCGACATCGCTCACAGCATTGTTTCACGGCTGTGGAAGTCATTTAAAACTACTGGAATGTGTAGTAGACGGCACGGGGGAGGTCGTGTTAGAAGTACGACGCCTGCAGAAGACAGATATATCGTCCTATCAGCAAAAAGGAACAGGCGCACCACAGCTCAGCAGGTGGCAAATCAGTTTCTTGCTGCCTCGGGAAAGCAGATCTCCCGAAAAATTGTTGCCAGACGTTTGAGGGGAGGAGGACTATACGCACGCAGACCTGTTGTGTGTCCCATTGACCAGACAGCACCGTACTGCCCGTTTGCAATGGTGTCGTGAGCATCACAATTGACTGAACAGGACTGGGCATGCGTACTATTCTCAGATGAGAGTAGGTTCAGTCTGTCATTGATTGTAGACGCCAACTGATCCGGCGCGAGAGTGGTACTGCTTATCGTCCAGAAAATATCCAGGAAAAGGACCGATATCCGACATGCAGTATCATGGTGTGGGCCGGCATCATGATCAATGGCCGCACGTGCCTACATGTGGTTTCGAATGGGACTATGACGGGCCAACGATACATTGATGAAGTTCTACTTCCTCATGTTCGTCTTTTCCGTGGTGCTGTCGGTGATAAATTTGTTTTTATGGACGACAACGCAACATGTCATCGAACACTCTCTGTTCAGGATTGTCTAGACAGCGAGGGTATTCAACGTCTCGTATGGCCAGCGCGTTCTCCAGATCTAAACCCCATTGAAAATGTGCGGGATGCTTTGGGGAGGCAAGTTGCTGGTCGAAACTATCCTCTGACAAACAAGAACACCCTCATCCGTGCACTTACAGAGGAATGGGATAAATTGCCTCAACAGCTGCTGGATAATGTTGTGCAAAGTGTGGTACGACGTGTGGAATGTTGCATCACACTCCACGGTGGACATATCCCGTACTGATACCTTTCTTTAAGGTGCCTGCTGACTTTTAGATGCATTGTTCCATTTCTCCGTACGCAGATCAAATGAACATTTTTTTTTCTTTCAGATGTTTCACAGCTTTTGTACTTTCCAGAACAATACATATTCTTTATTCTAATGTCTGAACAGTGTGGCTACTATATTTAATCCTACTAGGCCTCATGTCTCGCTTAATGTTATGCTACATAGCAATTTGTGATCCGTCCTTAGCAATTGTCCAGCAGTGTATAACGTATATATGTAAAAGCAAAATGTTCGTTACTAATACATTCTATTAAATTACTTTTTTTAGTGTAAAGTAGGTTGAAAGTCATAAGTTATAATAATTTTGCTTCTGGTCTTTGTCTTTTCTACTGTATGCCTTTTAAATTGGCTCAAATATTACGTTAATTAATGCTGTTCTCGTTTTCAAAAAACACGATGTCTTGTACTTTAAAACGGGCCCATTTCCCTTTTTTCTTACAGCTTTCTTTCCGGTCATGCTGTCAGTTACTAACAAGATTCTTAACTGCTAATCAAATCTAATGTAAAAGAAAATTCAATTCGCAGCTACCAATTAATCCTTATAAACCAGATCAAATTCATAAAATATATTGATATATTTCTTTTTCCAGTTCTTGAAAATTAAAATACATCAATGAAATATTTGGATTGTTTTTCAACATTTTTTTTTCAGATCACTCAATGCCAGATAGATAACGGATACCGACAAAATTTATTAAATAATGTAGCGCGTCTTTCTTTGCTTTTAATTCGTATTAATCCTTTTTTTTTAGGAATTCTGGACTTAGGTGATATACTTTTTAGAAATGTAAATAGAGATGCAATTTGGTATTAGAAAAATTCGAAGGTATTTTTTTTTATTTGTGGTTTTACAGATAATATTGTCAAATAAAATTACATTTACTCATGCTAATTTAAATAAGATATTTATTTTTGAAGAATATTTGATCATTCTTTAAGATTATTTAATTTATTTTCTACGCAGAAACTGTATTAGTAAGGAAGTATGTTAACTTAATTATAACAAGTTTATTTACAATTTACTATTTTTAATTATGAAGATGAGGTAGCAAATTTTACAAGCATTTTTCTGTTAGTATAAATTTAGCGTAAATATCAAAATCCTCAAAAACAAACCCTTATTTCCCTTTTTCATGACACGTACATTTTAACCGTGATCACAAAAAAAATATATATTTATTCTTCAAATAAAAAAAAATCATTTTATTATTTATTTTTACTACTTCTGTAAACTAATTTGCCATATTTTGTTTAGTAAAAAAAAAAAAGAAGACTTCGAATGACAGTGTGTGTGTTTTTTTCTAGAATCATTTTATTTTTAATTCATTATCTGGTTTTTTTAATGCACTCAATAACTAATATTTTTTTAAAAAATTTCGAAAGAAATAATTTTGCCCCATTTTACAAATTTTCAGAATTAAATATTACATACTATATATATTAATCTATCTTAATAATTTCTTTATTAATATACAGAAATTATTACAAACTATATATATATTACATATATAAAAGCATTGATGAAAAAAATAACGTTGTTACCATTATTATGCATCAATTAAGTACACAAACGATATTTATCCCCAAAACCAAATTTGAGACCTTATTATCAACGATTAAAACCATTAAAATCCATAAAATAATACTATAAATTTACAGAGTCCTGCACGTATAACTTAGAATTTTTTTGTAAAGCATGAAAAATGTATTAAGCAAAAAAAAAAAAAAAAAAGAAAAAAGAAAGAAAAGGAAAGAGAGAAAAAAATTTGGGGTATTTTAGTTTCAAAAAAGCTATTCCAAGTGATTTCACAATTACATTTTAATATTTCTTATAGCCATCGTAAAAAAGTATACTTAATTCTATGTTTTAAAAAATTACGATGACGATTACTTTAAACCGGAATCGATTTCGAATTAAGAAACACAATAGTGCAAATGAGTTGTTGTCTTCCGCAGCACAGCTATTTTTCTTTTGACAACAATGAATCATTTGAGTGAGCGACAAAAGTATCAACTGATGACGAATCATTTTGGAAGCAATATTATGTTAAGAAGACGTTCCACGATTTGACGACCCATTCAAACCAGTAGTGCCAAACGATCGATATGTGAAATGGGCTGGGGAGGAGAAGAGGGTGCTTCTATAGCAGGTGAGAAAGGACCCACCCACTTTCGGTCTGGAATAAAAAAAGCGGGCGTTCGTAGATTAGAATGCTTCCGTGCGGAATTTCGTTTCATTGATTGTGTTATTAACCCATCAACCGAGCCAATGAGCTGGGTTATTGAATTTTAAGATGATAGCTTTGGTTAAACTGGGAATTTTTTTTTTTATTAATATTTGTGGTGTAGCACACGTAAGAAGAAAGGTGCTATTAAAAATTAATTTGAAGCAGAAGCGCACACAGTAATTTTTCAAGGGGAGGTCGGGGGTCGAAAGTTCACCATTCTTGCATAATGCTCCTTTTGATTTTGTCGATTTTCGGGAACAAAACACAGTAAAAAACTAATTATTGAATACATAATTAGCATTAATTAATAAAATTAATCATTAATAACAAATACTTAATTAAATTTTACGTACTATATACTTAGAATTATAATCAATCGGGAAAAAAACAAGGGTTTAGGGGGGTGCGGACGGCCGGGACCCTCCCCCTTGTGTGCGCCACTGATTTGAAGTATTAGATTTTTTTATCAGTTTATGTAGGCTTTTAAGACTAGATTTTGCTTAAATCCCTGGTACTTATTCAATTCCTACTATTAGTTTACACTCTCCTTATATGTAGTCTAATTCTCTACAAACAAGAGATAAACATTTATCAATCACATTAAAAAAACGCATAGATAGTAGGAAGATCTTTATATATATATATATATATATATATATATATATATATATATATATATATATATATATATATATATATATATTGTTCAAATTTTCAATCGTAAAAAATGCTTCTTATTCATCCACTCAAGTTCAAACATTTTTTAAAATTTGTAGTGGATGACACTTGATGTTAATACAGTTTTTTCAAATATCAATTAATTAATAGTTACAAACAAAAATAATAGCCCAACACCAAATATAATTCCTATAAAAAGGAAAATCACTCTTTGTGTCCGTGTAGCACAATAGATACTGTGTGTGTGTGTGTGTTGGACTTCTAATCCAAAGGTCATGGGTTCGAACCCCACTTGGGATGGCCTAACCTCCGAGAATGTGATTTCTTTTTTACTATACTATTTTATTGGAATAATTAAATTTAATTAAAGAATAAATAGTAACAAACAAAAATAATAGTCCAACACCCTTTATAGAAAGGAAAATGGAAAATTGCAAGGAAAATCGCTTTCTATTTTGCCACTTAATATTGTGATTCTGTCATATGTATATACATATTTATATTAATTGTAACTATTTAACAAAAAGTAACGAAAATAAAAGTTTTCTTTCTTGGCCTAATTAGTAACTGACTTAAAAAATTATTTTTATACTACTTGTTTTTATAAATATTACGTGTGTATCATTAATACTTGGCTACCGTAACCATGCTTCACTACTCATCGTACTATCAATAACAAATTTTAAAAACAAAATTTTTCTTTAAAAAAAATGCATTACATTTTAAAATAAACAAATTCAATTGACCCGACAATATTATTTATTTATTTGGGTTGCCCATCACTACTGTAGATAAAAACAAAGATATTTTTTTTATGTGTGTTTGATTTGAAAGCTTAGTAAAAGTAAATTTTTAGCTCTGTTGCTCCTTTTTAAATAGATTCTTTCCGAACTTAAGAAAAACACTCGAGAATTTTATACCTACCTACGCAAAAGCATTAATAGTAGTCACCACGTTTTAAAAAAAAACAGACGTGCTGTTTTTTTCAAAACAGCACACTTTTTTTTGAAAAAAATCTGTTTAACTTGATGTTTCGAAATAGTTAAATGTAAAAAATATGTTGTGTCTATACGTATACTCTTGTTTTGTGGCAACAGTAAAATTTTTTCCGCATGCCTGATTAACAGAAATTCCTCCTAAGAACTCTCGAAAAAAAAAGTACGTACGCAACAAAACATTTTTATACACAAAATTGAAGATTTTTCAACAAAATGTTATTTTGTATACAAAAGGAATTTTTTTATTCTCATTTTCAGGTAGTTTTCCGTTTCGCCGGTCGAAATCTCGCCAAGCAGGCTTTATTGGCGACAACATTCAATATGCACATAAAAATATTAATAAATATTAGTTCTCATTGATTTTTCATCTACTTTTGATGTACTGTGAAAAAGCCGTTGCAAATAAGAAAAGATCACGCCTTGTTTTGAAAATGTGGGAGTAAAAGGTTACAAGTGGGAATATTCTGTTTGACGTAGGCTGTATCATTTTTGCTTCAGTCAAACGGAAAAGTACCCATTTTTAATTCACAAGGCATGATTCCAGGGTTCATGAAGAATTTCAAATTTATATATTAACTTAAAGATACAAAACAGTTTCAAATGCCTAAATTCTATAAACCATTTTAAGAATACTAATTGGATGAATGATTGTGTCTTGTTTACAATATCGCGACATACATTTTTTACAATATATCACATATTTCTAAATTCGCGATAAATAGCTCAATTTAAATAATCATTTTTAAATGATCGTATTATGGTAAATAGTTGCTTGCTTTTAAATATTATGTTTTCGTATAATAAGCTGGCTAATTATCATACAGCATATGTTACTTATTATATTCAATTTCTTAAACACTTCAAAAAAGTATCCTCATTGTTTAAAAGAAAGCATAGAATTTGTGAGAAGAGAAACATCAAATTGCGACAAGTAATAGTCCGATCAACACACGCACGTACATAAATGCATTCTAAATAACCAATTATTTCGAAATTGTTGTTTGTAGCATTTTAAGTAAGCAGCTGAATGCTTATTAAAAATACCATGAATTAATTATTATCTGTCCTGCATTTTTATTATAAATTTCTAACAATCGATTGATTTTTAATAAACTTTTTTGTATGTGAATATAATTAATTTATAGAAAATGTATTCTAAAATGTCATGTCAATACGGCGAAATTGGAACTCAATGAGTTTATTTTGAGTGAGTGAATATTAACGTCGCACTGTTCAGCTACACGAGGGCTTTTGGCGACGGACCACGTCATTTTGAACTATAGTTAAGTGACTTGGACGACACCTGAACTAGCAGCCCCCTCTCCTAATTACCACACCATACCAACAAGAGGACGTTTGAGCTCTCGACAGATTTAACGAGCATCGCTGCCCTACACGGCGGGTCTTTAGTGGTACTGGGCTCCAACTAATGACTTGCCTGCCATGATTCGATACCTTAACCACTGGGCTACCGCAGCCCGAGTTTATTTTGAAATCAGAGCCTTTATTTACCACAGAGCATTTTTCCCCTCTATAGTAAATGCCACATAAAAATAATTCATTTTACCTATTAATAATGATAGTTTTGATTTCTTTTTGTGGTGCGTATTTGTTTTTTAAAGCGAAAGTTTTCTAACTGTTGAGAAGTTGTATAATTTAAGAATTTTTATACATAATAGAAATTTTTTTATTACATTTATCTTATTTTATAATCCTTAAATTCATTCATTTTTTTAAGTAAATACTATCAATGTATATAAACATTCGCCATCGTGGACCAATGCGACACTAAGTTTGGACAACCGGACATACGTTTGCGATCCAGGACACAAGCTTTCATGTATTCATTTAAAACTAATTCTTTGGAGAGTAATGCTAAGGGACATGCGCAGATATTTAAGTGGGTTTTTATTAATATCGCCCTTCGAAGCTGCACGAGGGCTATTGGTTGATTGATTGATTGAATATTAACGTCGCAATGTTCAGCTACACGAGGGCTTGTGGGGACGGACCACGTAATTTTGAACCATGGTCAAGTGACGTGGACGACACCTGAGCTGCCCCCCCCCATCTCCTAACTACCATACCAACGGGTGAGTGAGTGAGTGAATAAGGTTTTATGGCGCAAGAGCCAATTTTAGCTAAGCTGCGCCAAACAACGTTTTAAATCTGTGGTCTAGACGGGAAAAGAAGAAAAGATGAATTGGAATGACAAGAAAGAGGGTCGAAAATAGAGAAGGATCACTAGGGCACCCCTGGCTCGTGAAGCCCGTGTTTACCAAAGATAGTAAACCCCTTGGGAAAATAGGAAAAGATCACTAGGGTATCTCGGGATTGTGACACCCGTACTCACCTAAAGAAGGTGAGCCCCCTGAGGGGGCACACCAACGGGAGGACGTTTCAGCTCTCGATAGATTTAACGTGCATCGCTGCCTACACGGTGGGTCTTCAGTGGTACTGGGCTCGAACTCGTGCCATGGCAAGCCACGATCCGATACCTATACCACTCGGCTACCACGGCCACACGAGGGCTATTGGTAGCGATCCTCGAATTTTTAACCTTAGTGAGGGACGAAGACGGCACTTGAGTCTGCCTCCCGCTCTCCACACCACACGAGTATGAGATCTTTTGAATCTGGACAGATTTACCAAGTCTCTTCCTATATACAGGCGAGTTTCAGTAGCAACAGAACTCGAATCCGCGACTCGATAACGGCGTCCATGACTTCGCTATCATAAACATTCGGTTAAGAGGACTTGGTAACCCAAAAATGACAGACCTATCATATTTTATTTTTATTTTTATTTAATCTTTTTCTTTGCATTATTATCTTTCTATTGATATATGACTTGTACATGTCGAAAAGTTAGAAATTGAATAAAACTTCATTTGAAAACAAATTAGGCAATTCAGCCACGCCCCCTTTTTAGAAAAAAGGCTTAAAAAATGGTTTTTGATAAAGAAAATCTATTTCATAAAGAGAAATATGATAACATTATAAAGGAATGTGTAATATATAAAGCAGAATATTATAGAGGCAATGCAATAGAATCATTTTTTTTTCTTCGGGAAATTTGTGCATGTAAAATTTTTGAATTAAGGCATTTTATATTAATAATTTTATATTTCAGTTCTTATTCCTGATACGTTTTTATATAAATGTAATACTTCAATATTACAAGAAGAAAAAAAAACTAAAATTTCTGTCGTGATAGAAAAAAAGATTTTTTGTAACATTTTGCTTGAATTTTCTTGTGCAATTAATACTCCCTAAAAACTGATCATTTATAAAAATGTATGGGTTAAAAAATATGAAGATGTAATTATTTTAAAGAAAAATGTATAATTTATATTATCTTAAAGTGGTATTTTAAGTTTATTTAAGCTTATTATAATTATTTTTTCAGAGTTATAAACTTTAAAGTGGTTTTTCTCAGTTTGTGTTTTTCGAAACATTAGCGTATTCAAAATGCTACTCCTCCCCCAATTATTCACCAATCCTTTCAATTTTCTCCCTGAGTGTTATGTATAAAACATGTAATAAAATTAGGGATCCGTTTTGCTGTAAACTGAATATTTTTTTTTAAAAAAAATTAAAAAGTAAGAGATATATATTGGCTTTTTGATAATTTTTAGCATGCATATCAACATTTTATTTTTTTCCCTCAAAAACGAATTATATATAAGTTATTGAAAAATCAGTCCCTTAAGTTGCTTAAAACATCCATAAGAATGTTATAAAATATTTCGGGTCAAAAAATTAATATTTACAAAAGGAGTAAAATTTTAAAAAAATTTCCAAATTTTCTTCAAAAAATTAAAATTTTTAAAATTGTGTGAATAATATGTGAAAAATTTCATCTCGTTTCATTTTCTTCAATAGAAACATTATATAAAATGCTAAAATATAATTTTTAAATGCATAAATAAAGAAAGTTGTACAAAGGGTACCAAGTCCCCTTAACACGCCCCAGATACGCAACGCAAACTGACCTAGTGAAAGCTAAACATCATCATCTCCACATTCTATTAGTTGGTTTCGTTTTAATGGTACTCTCAGAGAGTGAGTGAGTGAGTATTAACGTTACTCTATTCAGCTACTCCAGAGCTTTTGACAATGTACCTTGTGACATTGAACCACGGTCAAGTGACGAGGACGACGCCTGAATTGGGACCCTGCTCTTCTAACTTCCACACCACACCAACGGGAGAATGTTTAACTCTCGACATATTTAACGTGCTTTGGGTGTCTCTACATGGTGGGTCTTCAGCAGTAGTTGGCTCGAATTCATGACATGACG